TTAACTTAAAATATATTTTGATTGTTTCATGAATAAAATTATTAGAAATATATAGAGGATGAACCAATTTAGTGTGGTTTTTAGAGTAGTCGCAAGTTTTCTCAGAATAATCAACGATTTTACGAGAATAATTTTCAAGAAATCGTGAAAATCTTACTGTAGAGCCTGTAAAATGTATTATAGAAAGGCTCCCACAATTTCAATTTTACCTAATTTTTCGGGGCTCCTGAGATGCATGTATCAGCTGACGCCTATTTTATTTCTTTGTCAGAATCCGAGATAAAGCGGCTCGAAATTGAAATAAGGGTCCGTTCTATAACAGTTTTGCGGTAATGTGAAAAGTCAAAAATTAAACAATTTTGATCTCTCTCTCTCACACACACACACACACACACGGATGAAAAAGAAACATCTGACTGAGCATCTTTCTAGTGAACTGAAAGTTATAATTTCTTTATCTGTCAGCACTGATTGACATAGTAAGTTTCCAGTACTAAATTATAAATTTCTCCTTTTCAAGATTTTACGACCTCCTACCAAAAACGAGCGCCTACACATACATCCCCTTAAAAACCCCATTCTCTCCTTTCCCAATTCTCAACGACAGTCCATTAAGATGCCTCCCAAACAAAAAAAATCTTCATCGGCCACGTCGTTAAGCTTTCCCTTTCTTCTGACTCTTCTGCCAACCGAAAATGTGCTCTGCTCTCGTACGAGCCATTTAAATGTACATTGACACGTCGAAAATGGAAGGACGCTTGTCGACTCTCTCTCACTCATTTTCATTCCTCCTCTTTTTTTAGGATACCAATTGTGACATGAGAAAGGGGGCCGGAAAAGAGCACCTAAAATGTGAATCTCGGGGTGAAATATGGAAATTGATGAGAGTTCAAAATTGAAGGAGACATATCGCCTTCTTGGAAGGCATGTGTTTCCTTCCAATTGGGTGGTGCACGTCAATTTACTCCCTCCGAGTCATCCCCGACATTTAGAAAAAGCATGGATTTTCTATAATCTCAAAGGTGGTCTATGGAAGAGGGGGAAACGATGAAAAGGAAACACTGAAATTAGATGTAGGTACGGTATTCGTCATATGTGGGAAAAATCTCAAAATACCAAATTTCAAAATTGTGATTTTAGAAAAATGAACTAATGCTTAAGAATTAAAAAAATTGCAGCACCAGAATTACTGAATTTGTGATAACCCAAAATTTGATTATCATTAAAGCACTCAGGTTTGTGGTAAAACGGTTGTATCTTATTGAGGAGCGATGGTTTGAAAAGTGCCCAACCAGAATCATATCAGCGTTTTGCCAGAACAGTTACCATCTTTTCTCTATTAGAAGCTTATCGAAATCGTCCATTTTAAGCTCACATCAGTTATCTCGACCCCTGTTAGAGATTTTCAAACTTTTTCAACTGATAAATTATTTATCATCACATCACCAATAATTTATCAGTTGACATATTTTTTATATCTTTCACAGGAATCGAGATAATTAAGCCTAAATTTTATGGGTTGGGTGGTCTATAGATGAAATACGGTAACTATTTAAAAATCGATTCTCGAGTTTTTTCTGACAACCCTACTATTTTTCTCCTTAAAATTTGTTCATAACACCGGAGTTTTTTTCAAATCTCTGAACTCTTCACCTCTATCCTCTTTTTTGTAGTTTTGTAATCCTCTACGTACTATAGTTTTCTCTTGTTTTCAATTTTTCAAACCGTTTCTGAACAGACATGAAATGTATTTGCGGTTCTAGAAAGCGGATTAAAGCTACGATTTCTTCGAAATTTAATATTTTTCGCTTCTCGTTCCACTAAGAAACATAAGGAGACTTTCAAAGGGAAGCCGAAATCAAAGCAGATACGGAAAATGTGGAAATTCAAAGTATCAACATTTTCAGTAGTAATTATTCAGGGAGTATCCAGCTTTGCAAAAAATTAGGAATTGAAATTGATTCAAAGGTGGAAAAAAGTTATCGTAAAAAATTTTATTTTGAAATGGAAAAAGTAAGCAAAAGGTAAACGAAATGCATAAAACATACGACTTTTATGAGCAATTATTAGAGAAGGTAGAATCAATAAAAGAAAGAAAAGATATTCCTCCGAAAAAACAATTTGTAATACGAGTTGGCGGGGACTTTTTTGGTTCCGAAAGGTCTGGCTTATAAAACAGAATAGCATCAAAACTTAAACTGTGAAGATGGAAGATTGAACTTACTGAAAACACGGAAAATAGGTTAATAACGTTTTTTTACAAGTTAGAAACAAAAAATCCTTGAAATTCCGCCTTCCATTTAGATTTCCGCGTTTGTTTCCGTTTCCGTTCTTTTTTTTGTTGATAAGACAAGAATGAATGAATCTGAAAGTTAGATTTTTCGAAGAATTGAATAAGAAATGTGGTTGATTGTAAAGTTGTATAGACGTTTTTATATTTGAATAATTGTTTCAGTTGGAGCATAGTTGCAAACGGGTCGGCAG